CCCCCTCCCCCCCCCCCCACACCCCCCCCCCCCCCCCCCCCCCCCCCCCCACCACAACCACCACATCTTCCTCCTCCTCATCCTCCACCACCACCACTACCACCTCCACCTCCACCTCCTCCACCACCACTACCACCACCACCACCACCACCACCACCTCCTCCTCCAAAACCTCCACATCCACCACCACCACCATGCTGCCACTACCACCACCACCACCACCTTCACAACCGCCATCCTCACCACCACAACTACCACAACCACCAACTCCGCCTTCATCTCCACCACAAACTCCACTCCATCACTACCACTACCACCACATGATTAGTGCATAACAGTTTTAACATCATGTCTTTTTTTTTTCTTTTTTTTTTAAGACCTTTCCTATTGAGAGGGGCAATAGCATATTAAACTCACACACACTACACGAATGCTAGGACTTGAACTCAGGACCTTGCCTGAGGGAGTAAATACTCCAAACCGCTATACTAGTGGGTCCTTTGCAACATCATGTCTATTTTACTCATTATTCACAGTTACAACAATTTTATATTGAAATTTACCAAACGGTTTTAATACTGCTTTTTGTACTAACAGCACTTTAAAAATAGTGTTTACCAAACATGGAGCTGCTTTACTTTACAGCTAATTATTTTTAAAGCACAGCAGAAGCAACTTTTTTAAAAAGTGACAGCAATCCCAAACTAGGCCTAAAAGTGATGAGCAAACGAATGAATAAGGGCCGACCAAAACAGAATCAATGAATAAAGTAACTTCGTTTACTTTCCTTCTTTATTTATTTTCTTTTATGGCTAAGAAAAGGAAACTTACTACACACATAGAGAAGAAAGAATGAATCCAAATCCTATAGGAATATTTTTTTTATATTGATTGATTTAAGGAACCAAAAGCATGCACTATACCAGAGAGAGAATAGAATTTTAAAAAATAAAATAAAATAGTTTTAAAAAAGCGTGATCATACTAGTAGAGTTTAGTGAAAGTTGAATATATATATATATATATATACATGCAAACTATTGTTTCCTAAGTAACAGGGAAAATGAACAGAAAAAATAAAATGGAGCAACTTATAAGAATAAAAAGTAATATAAAATGCAAGTTACGTTAATTAATTGTCAAAACCAAGGACTGTAATTTATGTTTTTCTGTTCCAAAAGATTATGTTTGAATCACCAAACAACTTCTGCAGGCGGATTTCTCAATTAAAACCAAAAACAAACAATTTTCTGGCGGATTTTAAAATGAACAACCTATATACATATATATATTTATTGGCCTGCCTTCATTTTGAGGACCCAGGTTCATTGCCATTCTATAGTTGTCATCAGAAGCTCTGCTGCAACACCAATGGGCACCAGGACAGCTCATAGAGCCTCCTCTTCATCCTCATCCTTCTCCTCTTCAAAACAACATTGGATGTACGACGTGTTCTTGAGCTTCAGAGGTGAAGACACACGCAACAGCTTCACAGGACACCTCTACATGGCTCTAAGAGAGGCTGGGATCAATGCCTTTTTCGACAACAATGAATTAAGTAGAGGGGAATATATAACGGCCAAACTTGTGACGGCAATCCAAGGGTCTAGAATATCTGTCGTCATCTTCTCAAGGAGGTATGCTGAGTCAAGTCGGTGCCTTGATGAGCTGGTCAAGATCATGGACTGCAGAACAACACTAGGGCAAACGGTTATGCCAATATTCTACGATATTGATCCATCGGATGTAAGAGAACAGAGGGGCAGCTTTGCTCAAGCATTTGAGAAACATGAAGAAAACTTGTTAGGTAGAGATAATAAGGTGGTGAGGTGGAGAGCTGCTCTTATTGAAGCTGCAAATTTGTCTGGCTGGGATCTCAGGAACACTGCAGATGGGTATTTAATTACTAGTTTCGTTGAACAATAATGCTTAACTCACTTCTTTTAATACTCT